GAACAAGTAATAATGATTGGGTACATGTACAACGTGTTCTTCTTCTTGTAAGCCAAGACTAGTTGCTTTGTTATCAAGACGGAGGAATCAATCATCCTTACGTCCTTATGATGCCTTTTCGACCTGCTAGTGTCGACGTCTACTCCTTCTCTATGTAATAAAAAAGGAATTTACTAAATTTTAGGTGTCTAAATTTTAGTTTTTCTTTTAGACGACCGTTATTGTATATATTTTATACCAATATAAAATTATAGTTTTAGTTTGTTGCAATTTTTGTAGACACACAATATGCAATTTTTTGTTCCGTGAAGCCGTTAAACAAAACCACAAACCTCCTGACAAAATCTGATATGTGTTGGCACAAAGACAATTTAACAATTTACGATTATTTCTATAGTCAGATAAGGAAAAATTTTGATATATTACACAAAGACAAATTGATCCCCTTGCACAAAGATAAGGTTAAATGACAAAGGGGGAGAGATATGAGAAAGTAAGGGGATCAATTAAAATTTTGAGCACACAAGTAGGGGGAGCAAGCTCATAAACTTGAATGGTGCATTTGGATGTGCATTTTATATGTTTGCTTGCATGGCACAAGTTTTAAGTTTAAAATTTCATACTTATGTGGTGTATGCTAGTTGTAGGATTGAATGATGAAATGAAAAACTAGCATGCATAGGTTGAGTAACTAGATTTGTGGTTATATTATGAAAACTAGACCCTTGCTTCTAATGTTGATCTCACGGGGTATTCTAGTTTTTGTGAATGTCAATTACTAATGGTGCTAAGGATGGTATATTGGTGCACTCCGATTGGTATCACACTTCAAAGGTCCATCTCTTATACCTTAGCATCATTTGGTAGATATTACTCTCTCACAACTCAAATCCTTGCATATGTGCAAGCATCAATTCAAACTCTTAGCACATATGTAGGGGGAGCTAATGCTACCAATTGGGGTTCATTAAACTTGTCCATATCCTTTTACACATGGTAAATATGTTTGGGCAAGCAACATGGATTCAATTGAATTTCAATTTATATCTTTGTGAAAGGGTTGTCATTAATTACCAAAATGGGGGAGATTGAAAGCTCTAGTTTGGTTTTGGTGAATTGATGAAACCCTATGTGCTAACCTATTTGCTCTAGTGATCATGAGATAGGTAGCACAATTCCAAGTGGTGGAGCAAATGAAGATCATGATGATGGTGTGGTGACCATGATGATCAAGTGCTTGGACTTGGAAAACAAGAAAGAGAAAAACAAAAGGCTCAAGGCAAAGGTGAAACTTAGTAGGAGCTTTTTGGTTTGGTGATTGAGACACTTAGCGAGTGTGATCACATTTAGGATAGATGATCGTACTATTAAGAGGGGAGCTCTTATCGGACAACTCGATCATCTAGTGCCACTAGGTGTTGGAATACTTGCATTGCATTTTAGGCCTAGTGCACAATCGGTGAGAAGTAATTAACCTTTGAAAAATGTTCGTGAAAATGCTAACACACTTGCACGTGATGGTGAACACTTGAAGTGTTATCACATTTGCAAAGGTGGTGAAAAAGATGAAGAAAAGGAGGCATAGCCGGGTTTGTGTTGCTGCTCCGAGGGCACCGCCACCCTTGTGACGGTGCACCGCCACCCCTGTGGCGGTGACCGGCTGGGAGACCGAGAGCAGCGAGTTGCCCTGGGGCACCGCCACTGTGTCTGGTGGCACCATCGCCCCTAGGGTTATGCCCACCTAGACCTGGCTGAGGAGCGCAGAGAAGGGGCTGTCAACGGTGCATCCGGTGTGCACCGTCGCTGTGAGGGCGGTGCATCGCCCGGTCATCGCCGCCAGGAGGGCGGTGCCACCGCCATTTTTCACCCGAGAGCGAGGGAAGCCGAGCTGGTCATCGCCACCCTAAGGGCGGTGCACTGCCATAAAAATCCAGAGAAGGGGTATTTGGGCAGATGGCCGAGTGGTCACCGCCACCCTAGGGGCGGTGCCACCGCTACCTTGTCCGGTGCCCCAACAGCTAGTTTTTAGCCGTTGGAAAGTGACCATTGGGAGGGGCACCGCTATGTCCGGTGCCAGGCATCGCCGTGTCTGGTGCCCTCGTAGAAAGCTGCTCCAAAGGGGTAATGGCTCTATTTGCTTGTGGGCTTATAAATAGAGCTAGTGGCCGGCCTTGGCCACTCTCTTGGCACTTCTAACAGCTGTATACACCCTTTGAGAGTTGAGCAGACCGCTCCACTCACTTGCACACTTGATGTCATCATCTTGAGTGAGATTGGAGAGCCTCTAGTGCATTGCTTAGTGTTCTAGCATCTTATGGCACTAGTTGGGCGATTTGGGCTGGTCGAGTTGTTGTTACTCTTGGTGTTTTCCAACACCTAGACGGCTCGGTGATTGGTGGATCATCGAGCGGAGGAAGGTGATTGTCTCTGGCTCCGATCATTATGATTGTGTGGGGTTCTTGTGCCTTCCCCAACAGAGCGCCAAAGGCAACTCTAGTGGATTGCTTGTGGCTTGTGTGATCCTCATCTTGTGTTGGTTGTGCGGCACCCTATTGAGGGTTTGGCGTGTGATGCCAATTAGCACGTGAACCTCCAAGTTTGTGAATCGCCACAACGAGGACTAGCTTGCTGGCAAGCAAGTGAACCTCGATAAAAAATCTTGTGTGACCATTGTCCGAGGTTTTCTTGGTATTCATTGATTGATTGTGATTGATTGGCTCCATCATATTGTGATTGGCTCTATCCTCGACACGGTAGTATAATCATCACATCTCCTACCTTGCATTTACATTTCTAGTGTTGCTTCGCTCTTTAATGTAATTAGCTTTGAGAGCAAGCTTGTGTTGGGTCTAGTGGTTAGTGTGGCTCTTTAGTTAGCCTTTGAGAGCACACTAACTTAATGTAGTGACTTAGCCATTGTGTGCTTAGAGATTGTAGTCACTAGAATTATGGTAGGCGGCTTGCATTTTTAGTAGGCTAGCGCAACACTCGCTTCGCCATTTAATTGTCTAACATTTTTGCTAAGTGTTGTTGTAGAAATTTTCAATAGGCTATTCACCCCCCTCTAGCTATTAGGACCTTTCATCGGTTGGATGACTCATTTGATGACACCAATAGGCGATGTGTGCATAGGATCCAAGAGCAGGAGGTTAGAGAAGCTTTGAAAAGGATGAAAGTGGATAAAGCGATGGGCCCTGATGGTATTCTGATCAAGGTGTGGAGATGTCTTAGGGATTTAGCTATAGTATGGCTAACGAAGATGTTGAACAATATCTATCGATCGAATAAGATGCCTAAGGAGTGGAAAAGAAGCATATTGGTATCAATCTACAAGAACAAGGGAGACATCCAAAGTTGCACTAATTATAGGGGAATTAAGTCACACGATGAAGCTATGGGAGAGAGTTATCGAGCATCGACTGTGAGGAACGATGTGGGTATCTACAAACCAATTCGGTTTCATGCCCGGAAGATCAACATAGAGGCAATTTTCTTAATAAAACAAGTTATGGAGTGGTTCAGGGAGCAGAAGAAGGACCTACACATGATTTTTTTTCATTGACTTGGAGAAGGCTTATGACAAAATACCAAGGAATGTTATGTGGTGGGTGTTGGACAAACATAAAGTCCCAACAAAGTATGTTACCCTCATCAAGGACATGTACAACAATGCCGTGACTAGTGTCCAAACAAATGATGGTAACACAGACTACTTTCCGATTAAAATAGGACTCCATCAAGGGTCAGCCTTGAGTCTGTATCTCTTTGCCTTAGTAATGGATGAAGTGACAAGGGACATTCAAGGGGATATCCCTTGGTGTATGCTTTTTGCAGACGATGTAGTGCTAGTTGATGAAAGCCAGGCATGAGTAAATAGGAAACTAGAGTTGTGACGGTAGACTCTTGAGTCCAAAGGTTTTAGAGTAAGTCGAACTAAAACAGAATACATGAGATGTGACTTTAGCAATGCTGCACATGAGGAGGGAGAGGTGAGTTTGGAAGGTCAAGTGGTGCCTAAGAAAGATACCTTCCGTTATCTAGGATCGATGCTACAGAAGGATGGAGATATTGATGTATACGTTTGCCATAGGATCAAAGTAGGGTGGATGAAGTGGCGCCAAGCGTCTGGAATTCTCTGTGACAAGAGGGTACCACAAAAACTCAAAGGCAAGTTTTATAGAATGGCAATTAGATCCGCTATGTTGTATGAAGCAGAATGTTGGCCTACAAAAAGACGACATGTCCAACAACTGAGTGTCGCAGAAATGCGTATGTTGCGTTTGATTTGTGGTCACATAAGGATGGACCGAGTTTAGAACGATGATATACGTGACCGGCTAGGGGTAGCACCAATTGAAGAAAAGCTTGTTCAACATCGGTTGAGGTGGTTTGGCCATATCCAAAGGAGACCTTCAGAGGCACCAATGCATTGTGGAGTGATAAGTCGAGATATCAATGTGAGGAGAGGTAGAGGGAGACCGAAGCTGATGTGGGGGGAGGCAATAAAAAGAGATTTGAAAGGTTGGGATATACCTAGAGATCTTTGTTTGGTTAGGAGTGCTTGGAAAGCAGTTATTGACGTGCCTGAACCATGACTAGGGGCTCATGTTGGGTTTCAACTCTAGCCTACCCTAACTTGTTTGGGATTAAAAGGCTTTATCGTTGTTGTTGTTGTTCTTGTTGAAGCTTCTGCCTGTAGTTGCTTCAGTAAAGGGTTTCTAGTTGGTGGGGATGCCTCACAACGTAAGCCGCTCCCTGGTGGACCTACCACAATAGCTCAGCAATGTGTTTGCTAATATAATGTTAGTAACCTTGAATCATCATCATCATTATCTTTTGTTGTTAACTTGATTTTGCTTCATGTTCTTATCTGTTTTGATAAAAAAATTGGCTGCTCTAAGTGGCGGGTATTACTCATTTTCCATAGGTATATGAGGCTTTGATGAAAGCTTTTGTGGATCACAACAAGGTAGTAATAGTGAATAAGCTTTGTTGTTGCAATGATGAGTCCCCTAACGCTGATGAAGCGAGCGCAGGTGATCAACCAGAAGGATATGCTCCTTGGCATCTGCGACGACGTGTCATGGCACACCAAGTTAAAGGACTCCACCTACATCTTCGGTGGTGGTTACCCCTTCGACCTCACCAAGGGCGACCTACTTACCATCTTCACGCAATCGCAGAGCTTCCTGCAGATAATCGAATGATGAGCTAGCAGGTCAGTGTGCTGTGAATGCATTAACAAAATTGTTATGTGAGTATCCACTGGGAATGTTAGTAAGCAAACCAATACCAGCCGTATGTTTGAGAAAACAATATATCTGTTCAATCAAGTTGGTAGGAAGAAGGAAGATCGGTATCCTGTCACCTCACCGCCAATGTTTCATGAAGTTTACCGATGTTTCTTGGGGTTGCTAGAAACTAGATAATTTTGAAATGTGCTTAGTGTTTGTATTAACAATTTGACATAGCTTAACTTGTACTCTGGTTGAATCATTTGATGACCGAATTAGGGTGAAAGCATATTTACATTAGTAAGATCGCTTTGTGTACTCTATTTTGGGATTCAATGGCATATTCTTTAATACTAAAAAATCTTTCTATTTTCAAATAGTGAGGGGTATATTGCCGAGGGAAGTCAACCATAGGGATTTTTAGGATGTATTCGAGGTCCAAATACTCGTTATCTAGACAAATCCTGAGAGAGTATTGTCGGCTTAATTATATGCTTACAGCTCCACAAAATAGTAGGATTTATATGCTAGTATGCCATAAATATAATAGGAGAGATATCAATTGAGCCTTTTTAGCCACAATAAAGCATTTTATAGTATAAGATCTAGCATTTTTTCTACAATAATTAAGTAGTTTCCTTTTATACTTTAGCGGTTTTCCAATTTTATACTGTCAGTCGAGCATTTGTGTGATTCTTTTGATATTGGTATTACATTTATGGTTTTTTTGAGTTTGGTATTAGCAAATGCCGGTTTCATGTTTAGCCACCTGCTTTGGATTTAGGAACTTTTACATGACTCCATATTATTACGATAGTTAGTGCTTGTTCAATCCATTGTCACTTTTATTTCTAACAATCTATTGTCACTCTTATTTCTAACAATGCTTCTTGGCCTACCTGCAATATATAGATTCAAAGTTACTTTTTTCTTAAATAAATACATGCACTGCACATTAGAAATGCTTTTTGTTTCATACATAAATGCCTTCCGTACCAGACTAAATTTCAAATATTTAGGCACACGTACCTAGCACCAGCTTTAACTTGTCCCTCCATTTTGTTTCAACTTTTGGTGGCGTCAGCCACTTGTATGTCAATACCTTGCGAATATTGGCAATATCTCCCGCCTTGTAGTTGTATGTTGATCGCTCGTCCCAGTGTTTAGCATGCATGAGCATATCAGATCCATAATCATGGTTGCGATAACATACTGTTCAACACTTAACATTTAATTTAACCATTCTATAAAATTTACAGCACATGAACCAATGTCATTTTAAACTTACATATTTTATTGTTTTGGCTCACCAATGTCCACAACCTCGTAGTTGCTATGCCCTTGTTTGTGTTTGGGTAGTGTTCTTTGAATCTATTGCTCCTTAGGTTTAGAACCAGCAAGTAGTGGTGTCCGACTAATTCTGATCCTTCATTTTTGGTGGCTTGAAGCATAGGGACCATTACCCATGTTGTTTTTGTTTACATCGTTAGTTATAATGTGCCAAATAACATACACTAAATTTGAATGTGCTGAATATATGAACAAATTCATATATGAACAGACCATCTAACCATTGCGATTAGGGGTGGCCATGGGTGCCTTTAGATGGAGCTTCCCTCTATGTTTTCCACTGCTGAAGAGACCCAAGGATCAACAAATGTGATGGCGAGCATGTGGGCCATTGCATTGCGTGGTGCTTTCCCATCATTGCTCGAGGCATTATTAAAACTATTACCCCTTTCATTCATCACAACAGAGGTGGGCCCATGGATCATAACTTTCTTCATCACACCAGTGCAATGCCTAATCCTCACAACTGTCGTGAGCCCACATATTTCATTTAGATCCAACTTATGCTAAATCAGCAAGCAATTTTTTCATTTTGGTTTAGCATTTTTATGTTCTAGCTTTAGCATTTTTAGTGTTGTAAGGATAATGATCTGCCATCGATGATGATGCCAATCCATGCTTTTGTACTAGAGGATAGGGCTTAAAGAGACTAATTTGTATATCTTTAGATGATAGACTCTTAGTTAAAGAATACCTCGTGTGATAATGACTTCATTTAGCCCGGTGGTAATTTTTTCTTTGCATGCACACACACCCATCCGTTGTTAACAGATGATCCAATGCACTGCTGCTGATGGAAGCCTCTGGACGCTGGCCTTATCACAAGCCCCCTCTGCATTATCTCTCATTTTTCTCCTCCCTTTCTCTCCCCTGCCATGTGCTTGTGGACACCCCCTCACCCTTCGTCTCCGCCGTGGTGGAGGGCAAGGACGGGAGTGTCATGCGCGTCTATGGCTCCGACGGCTGCCCCCATCGGGTGGTGCATCCACGTCACCCTCTTCTACAAGGCTACGACGCCCTTCCACTTCATGCCCCCTGAGCCGGCACCACTTAGTCACCCCGTACTCTGCCTCTCTGTTGTCAGTGTGGAGGTCTAAGGCACTACTGACGAGCTGCTGGGCCAGGTGGATGCATGGTTTGAGTGCAAGCTTTGTGTCGTGCTGCAGGAGTAGTCTTGCACGGCATTGTTGTGTGGTCCGGGCTGCCCCACGACCTTGGATCCGGATAGCATTTTGCTCCTCACCGTGTCACCATCCAAGTCCTCCCCCAAGCGGGGCCACATAGGCACTCGATGATCTCGCCTTTATAGCTAACCTTGCTCGCCTAAATTTTAGAACTATGTGCACCCATTTCTCCTCATGCCTGAGCTATCGGCCTTCATTTCTGGTTATCTCAATATTATTGCTTTATCAACCACACTATTTTGCCTAATATATAACCATATTATTGCTTCGTTCTTAACACTATTTTGCCTAACAGATGAAACACATTTTTCAACTACATAGTCACATAGATAACCTTAAAAGCCAGTGGGCTCTCCAGTCGGAAGGTTACTTAACAAGGCTCCTTATCAAGAAAATGAACAATGACACGCACAATTCTGTTGGTCAATTGTTTCTTTCAGATTTTCGGTCAAGCATTGCTTTTGCTTCATTCTCAACTAGAATATAGTAAATTCACTATCCTGCATCCTAATGGCTTCCCTCTTGTTTGTAGGGTCATGGTCCTGTAGATGAATTCCTGTACATGGACTTGCCTCAACACTTCAACCCCTACAAAGCATTTTCTTCAACAGTTACAGGCAACTTAGTTTTGCTACTAAAGCAATTTTAGTTAGCTCATTATCCAAAATGAAAATTAAATGCTTGGCCAACAAAAGATATGAAGGGAACCAATAAGAACCAAAACAGGAAGAATCTTAGAGTGGAGATATGAAAGGAAGAAACATAGAAAATGCATTAATCTAACTTCGAATACCTATTACTATTGATACTTTTGCCTCAACACTTGCTTAATGTTGGATGTATGCGATTTTGTTGATCATCTTGGGTTCTGTGGTTTTCTAGACGTTGCATGAGATTTTCTAGATCCAAACTGGTGGGGAATACATGTTACCTATGTGAAAGTTATAAAATGCTTACGATAGAAGAAGATGGGATGGTGAATCTGCTTGTCTGTAAGTACCGTCATGACTTATACTTCTGTTTGTACGGCTGTATCGGTTAAGTTCGACCTCCACTGCGAACTCTAGTATAAGCTAGTTATCGACTCTTATCTAGTTCAAGTACGACTGCATCGGTTAAGTTCAACCTCCACAGCTCGAATTAGATCAAGGTCAAGTTATCGGCTTTACCTAAGGGTGGCGTCCTTCGGGTAGATTCATTAAGTTACCGATCTTGCTGATGTTCTTATTGTTATTAATTTTCAGCAACATCAATCTGCCCGATCGAGATCGATCTAGATCGGTCTCACATCCTTTTAGTCCATCGTTTGCTTTGTTACAATGCAATATTTCTTACTTTGAGCGATGGGTTATGTTTTATCGGTTGTTCTACCTCGATCTTAATCGTGCATAGTACGCGGTTAAGGCATGTCCGATCTTGAGGAGGTTTGCTGGCTGGTTAAATCTGGTTTATAGTTCCCTGTTATGGCTGCAACGTTCTGGTCAATCCCCACTGATGGCACTTTAGATCGGAGGATGCTAGTTGGTAGATTTGTTCTCGATCAGGCGTGACCTTAACTGTTTGCTATGCCTGCATCGGCTAAATAGCCGATAGCCTATGCTTTAACGCCTATAGTGTGTCTCCATGGTTCTGTTAAATGTAATAGATCTGTGTACTTTAAAGGTTTGATTTGTTGTCTTTATCACGACTACCATCGATCTGGTCGAACCCCACTATTAGAGATAGCAGGTTAAGTCTGATGAGTTCATAGATTTGTCCATGTTAAATAATCGATTCTTCACATGTTGTAGTCCTTTTTCCACCTGAATCGGCTATTTCAGCCGATTCGCTTGAGCGTCCACACACATAGCGTGTCTTTCAAACGCCTGTCAATGTATAGATGTTTTATGGATTCTTCGGTTTTCATTTGTTATTATCATCATAGCTGCCATCGATCCGTTCAACCTCACTATTGATGGTAACAGATTAGATTCAGAACGTTCGTAGATCCATTTGTACTAAACAGTCGATTTGTTCGCATGCTATATCCTTTCTCATTAGATTCATCGGCTCAATGCTTTACACTAGCAATACTCACCTAGTTGATGATTTTACTTTTATCTGCGTGCATTGTACTTGTCAATATAAAATCAATCGTGACCCACGAGCTTTACAGTCCGTAAACAGCTGATTTCTTCGCGTATCGGCCATTTAGTCGATTTTTCCCGATCTGGCAGCTCCCGAAGCAGCACACTTAGAATTGTCTGGGCAAAACCGGCATGTTCCACCTTAAATTACTGATAAACTTTCTCTCCTTGTCAATTATATGTCAAATTGACTGGCACACCTCAGGAGAAATTCGCAGGATTAGTTACCCTTGCGTTGAAGCCAAGCGGATCTCCATCCTTGCTCCATCAAGCAGATCCTTCTGGCTTGCTGTGTGCCCGGCGCATCGACACA